CCGGGGTCGGCGCCGATCGGAAGGAGGCAGGATTTATAACCCACAGCAGGATGCGGTTTGACACCGGCTGTAATCAGGAGAGCTGTCACCACAAGGACAGCTGTCAGGCCACTCCGGCTTGTAAAAAGGGATGGAGACACCCTAAAAGCAGTGGCTGCCTTGCTGGACTTGCTCATGGGATTTAACCCTTCCCTGAACAGCCTCTAACAAAAGAGAAGGCCTTGTAAAAGAAATGCTCTGCTCAGCACTGCCGGAGACAGCTTTCATATGAGCTCTCATGCCTCTCCGTTGCAATTAACAGCTTGGTTACAAAGTGCTTACAGAGATGGTATCGGGAGATTTTCAGTGAGTTCCAGTTTCAGGCCAACAGCCACTTGAATCAAAACCATTCACTCACTTAACAAGCTGTTTTCAAGATCGGGCAGATTTATGACCACATCAGCTAAGTGAGGGAATGAGGACAGCCTGGGTGCAGCGATGGTCAGCCAGAGACAGCGGGGCACCAGCCGGCACACCAGATCTGTGTGCCAGTCACCCTTCCCCAAAGATGGGAGAGGAGGTGGGATAATACTCAAGCGGAAGAAAAATTTTAACACTTAAAACATCTGGGAAAAATACCTTGGTAAACTGTCATTATTGAAATATCTGAGCTGGCAGGGTTTACTTCCTGAAATAATGTTAATTAAATCAGTTATGTTTGTTTGCCTGTGTTCAAAGATCTGCTTCAGCCGCCAGCCAGAGGGATCCACCTGCACATAATTCACACTGAGGTGATGCATCCACCTTTTACTTTCACATACTGGACTGGCTTGAAGCAGGTGCTCTTGGGTAACTTACACACATGCTATGCTTTTGCACAACCTAGTATAATCCACTGTGCACTCCTTGGTAGGCAGATGCCAGAGCAGGGAGCAGGGAAGAGCTTCTCCCTGAGAGAGAGAAAGCCCAAAATGTGGAATAAGCTGGGCAGAGAAAAAGGCAATGTGGCATTAACTGCTGTCATTCCGCAGACACAGCAGCACTAAGCAGAAGGATAAGAATTTGAAAAATAAAGTATCCTACAGGAAAGATGATAGGGAGAGAAATCATATATTATTGTAATTACAGTCTCAGTTCAGAGGCCCTGGAATCTGGTAGTTTAGATCCAGATCCAAATGCCTTGGACTGATGGTCCGCAAAGCAATTTTGTCATCGTGCTAATGTCCTTGTGGAGAGATCAGAAAGAGAGAAAAAGACACAAACACTTCAGAATGACAAGTATGCTCTTAATTACACAGTGACAGGCATCGAGAGAGAGTATGAAATAAGAACCAGTGTGTTTTAATTTTGGAAAAAATGATGATATAGATTAAATCGATACATTTTTCCTATTCCCATACATCAGCACTGCATGTGTCACTTTAGTCTCTACTTCTCTCATTTGGAGATAGAACAATCTTTCAATTAAAAGGGTTGCTACAAAATCTCGTATCTAATTAGCATGCAATTGTAGGAGGGACACAAACTGTAACTTCGATCTGCTGGTTTTGGTACTAGAGAAGCTGCTGCTCTCTCAGCTGTGATCAAACAGGCTTGTCACCAGGACACGTGGAGGTGAAGGCCATCTTGCTTGTCTGCTTCCCTCACCTGCGTAACCTGTTAAAACCAGTACAGACTCTCCTCTCAACCTTAGCATCCCCTAACCAGAGCCAGCCCTGGGTCTGGAGGTAGCACAACCGCATCCTGGAGACACACTGGTGCACAGGAAAATCTCTGCAGAAAGGGCATCATTAATTGGGGGAAAAAGGAAGGTTTTACAGTGAAATTTGGAGAGCACTAAGAGAGTACAGCAGTGCACACTGCTTCTCCCAGGGCTCCTCTTCACGCCAAGCTGGGATTTGCTGGTGGAGGTAGCCACTGGTTAATCAAATGCAGCTTCCCTGCTCGTATTTCTCCTGAAATTTGCTTTCTGTACGTAGACCATTTACTCCAGCTGCAAATCCATCCCGTTAAGAGGGAACAACCAAGCTGAAAGACAGCTTACCGTAATGGAGTGCAGTCTGGCCTTCCCCATCCTGAAAAAGAGAGAGAGAGAGAGACTTGATTTTAGAGGTATGGGTAACATTGTGCGATACAAGTAAATTCCAGTTTTAAATAGGCTGAATCACAGCAATATTATAATTGACTAGATAAACAGCCCAGGACACCCAGCTACCTGGCAGTTAGGCTTTGAATCATCATCCACCATCAATCCATATTGATGGATAATCAATATCTATCCACCCATAAGAGTGCGTGGATCACGTCATGACATGAGTATAATTCAGTTCACAGCGTTATCACTTCCAGCCCATAAAAATGAAGGATTTCAGTCCTACGGCCTTACTTTGGGACCCTCACTAATCCTGATGCTTTAGTGCAAGATGCTTCTGCGCAAGCCCAGCCTTGTGAAAAGGGTAAAGCACCGGGATACTGGCACAGCTCGATGCGCTGCACTCTGCAGCACAAGGGAGCACACAGGGGGAAACCCTCCACCTTTTCTTCCACCTGAATAAATCTTAGGTCCCTGCTCTTCAGAATTCAAGTCTGGCCAAAGGTGGACCCAAAGGCCAAGTAAGTTCTGTCGGGCTGCTGGTGTCCCTGCATACGAGGGTGAGGAAAGGGCTGTGCACAGCACTCGGGAATGAGGGCCGGCTGCCGAGCTCACCCTTGCGAAACGCCTGTGGCACAAGGGCAAAGCAAACCGTGTGATGGGAAGATGTGGGCACGCGGCCCCCTCTTCAAGCTAGCCCGTACGCCACTGCATCAGCTGCAACGGTTTGGGAAAGGTGTACCCTTCCCAGACACGGCAGGCACGGGGGGCTTTGCCGGTGAGCGGTCGGCGCTCGTGCGGCAGGTCCAGCAGTGCAAACCCAGACACCGCACTGTGCTGCAGCCTCGTCCTGCCACAAGAACAGGTGAAATAACAGAAGGAAAGAATTACGGGCCCCTTTGCTTTCACTACCCCACCAGGATTAACCTCTAATTCAGTTCTTTGCCTCCTTAATTTATGTGAATCTGTTTATGGAGACTTAAGTTTTTAATTACCATCATCTTTGGGATTAAGGTGCAAATTCTACAGCCTGTTGTGGAGGCTGGAGCAGGCGAAAGGGAAAAGACGAACAGGCCAACAGGTAGAAATCCCACTTGTAGCTGTTTGGAGACTGCTGGCTTCCCAGCCTATTACTCTGTTTAATATTAACCTTGTTCAGCTGAGGAACTGGGAAGGACTTGTGTTTCAGGGTGGGAGGTGCCATGCTTTGCTCTGGGACACCGCACCAACACGACAATCACAGAAGCAACAGGGTCAAAAAGAGAAAAGCCAGATGTAACAGGCATTTGCTGCCCAAACATCCATTTCACGTCTTTGCTGGGGAAAATGTGGGGGGTGAGGTTCTTCCTTCCATGTGCTGCTATGCCCCATTCATGGCACTCAGGCCAACATTTGGAGGCACCTCATCTCAGGAGCCTATTTCTGCCCAAATTGTGGGGAGGGTAATGCAAACGGGTGTCACTAGAAGACACCGCAAACCAAACAGGTGAAGGAACCAAGGACGGCTTCCATTGATTATTCCACACTAACAAGGTAACCGATCCGAGCCAGAGCCCCGAGCGGTCCTTAAGCACGTGTCTGCTCGGAGGAGTGACACGGCCAGTACTGACTTCAGCAAAATACAGAGCAGGGCTGGGGCAGAAGAGGCAGGAGTGCTGCGAATGAGTTATTGGAAAGGCAGGCCTTCACAGACGCGGGTTGTGTGTGTGCTGGGGGATGGGAAGCCAGCTCCCCTCTGCATCGCTGCCTTCAAAACTGTAGCTGACAAAACCCGCAGGTGAATGGGATTGGAGAGGTGCAGCAGAAACCCCTTTCCATGGGAACGCTTAGCTGCAAAACTCCTTATAAAACACATAGGACTGCTCCAGGAATACTACAGCCATTTGTTCCTCTTTCAAGGGCCTGTGTAAAACACTGCTGCTTCAGCAGCAGGCTTTGGGCTAACGAGGCATTTTATTTCTCTTAGATGTACTTTCTGGCATTTATTGGGCTAAGAAGAGAGCACAAGTCCAGCATACGAAATGCGTCTCTTTAATCCCACTGCGGTTTTTAAAAAGAACTATTAATCCAATGTTATGCAAACACTGTTTACACTTTATTTACACTGTGGATTTTTTTTTTCCCCTTTGAGCCTGATGGTTGGCCAAATGCTATTTGTTATACTTCTCAGATGCTATGTTATTTGCTTGTATTTTTCTCTGTGACAAATTTTAATCCAGGTAAATGGAAAAAGCTCTAGTGTGGTCACTCACTAAGGGCCTTGAAATGCCCTCGGGAAGCTGCTGATCTCAATCCCTCTTTGATTTGGCTTTTTGGAGCACCGTGGCTAATTGGAGCCTGACGTGCCTGGCTGCTCTGCACACAGCACTTGGCTCCGGGGATGGCAACTCTGATCCTTCAGTGCAAAATGGTCACACCTGGAAACTAATCAAAGACGTGAAAGTGAGGATTACAGCTCCCGTTGCAGAAATTACGTGAGACGACTATTGCCTCCCAGGCACTGGAAATGTTTGTGTTACCACAAAACAAGACACACAGAAGCGGTCTTAACATGAATTGTAGCTGGCCTTCATGCCACGGATATTTCCCAACGTGCCACAGAAAGCAGCGGTTTCTGGAGCATCCTAGGCAAGGTGCAGTGTGTCTTTCTCCCAGGACATGCCTCTGTTGGGATGAATGACAGTGACAGCCTGCTGTAGCCTCTGTTCTCACCCCACTGCACCCTGCCCAGGGCACCAGTAAACGTCACCACCCAGCCCGGGATCACTGGCACCAGGCAGGAGCAGAGCATCCTGAGCACATCCTCTGCAGCCGGGAGGAACGCAGAGACACCGGCGGTGAGCAGATGGACCACTTCGCTCCTCTGGCTTGCAATTGGGGCAGCTAATTTTTCTCCATTGACACTCATCAGGATCTTTTTGGTTTATTTTACATAAAGCACTGAGTTGGAGGGGGATGTTTGTCATGATTGTTTACATCTTTTCTCTCCAATTCAGCTTTCAGATTACAGAAATGTAAATCATTCAGAGCTGCAAGTACAAGATGACCCAGAGTCTATCGATGCACACTGAAACTAATAATTTGATAAATCTGTAACATAAAAAAACTGAATACTGTAACCAGTTATTTCCAGACTATGCCTATGGAAAGTTACGTAATCACGGTGCATTATAATTTCTGTGCTAAGGCATGTTAAAAGAATTTAGAGACTTTATTTTTCCCCAATAGGAGCTTCTACAGCATGAGAGAAGCACAAAGAGAAGGTGTTGAGCAGGGGAGCAATCGAAGAGATGGGCAGCTCCGGAGCCAACGCCAAGCCCCACTCTATGCCAGGATGCCTCTCAGAAATGCCCTTTCAACATCACACATCAGCTGGAATAATGTCAATGTGACAGGTTAAAAAGGAGGCAATCACTGCTCTGATTCAGTGAACTTCAACACAAAAGGGGGAAAAGGCCAGGCTCAAAGCAGTAATACACAGCGGTTTTGTACAGCTTTGCTTTCAGCTTGCAAGGCACTGGCACGTACCTGTCCCAGAGCCCTGTAAGCAATAATCTCTCTATGAAAAGGAGGAGCTTGTGGAAATGGCAGAACCATATAAGCAGACAGATGACAAGAAAGGAAGGAAAGACCACTACACATTCAAACATGAGAGTGCGCATCCCACACACGAATTACTGACCAACAACAGACGGATTATTGCAGCCCTGCCGACAAGGACTTGGGGGTGTGGGTGGCTGAAAAGCTGGACATGAGCTGGCCACGTACACTCACAGCCCACAAGGCCAATGGTATCCTGGGCTGCATCAAGAGAAGTGTGGCCAGCAGGTCAAGGGAGGGGATTTTCCCCCTCTACCGCACCCTGGAGAGACCCCACCTGCAGTGCTGTGTTCAGCTCTGGGGTCCTCAGTACGAGACAGACATGGACTTGCTTGAGTGCATCCAGAGGAGGGCCACAAAAATGATCAGGGGGCTGGAGGACCTCTCCTGTGAGGACAGGCTGAGAGAGTTGGGGTTGTTCAGCCTGGAGAAGAGAAGGCTCCAGGGAGACCTTACAGCGGCCTTTCAGTAAAGGGGGCCTATAAGAAAGGTGGGGGCAATCTTTTTAGCAGGGCCTGTTGCAATAGGACAAGGAGTAATGGTTTTAAACTAAAAGAAGGCAGATTTAGACTAGATATTAGGAAGAAATTCTTTACTGTGAGGGTGATGAGACACTGGAACAGGCTGCCCCAAAAGGTGGTAGAAGCCCCATACCTGGAAACATTCAAGGTCAGGTTTGACGGGGCTCTGAGCAACCTGATTCAGCTAAAGGTGTCCCTGCTCACTGCAGGGGGGTTGGACTAGATGGTCTTTAAAGATCCCTTCCAACCCAAACTATTCCATGATTCTGTGATTCCAAGCTTTCCTCTTCCCTCCTAATGCTGCGTGCCATCCCTGGTGCCTCTTACAGCCTCCTGGCACATCTGGCCACAGCATGACGACAGCCGAGCTGCACAGCCTTCAAGGGAGATGAGAGCATTTCTGAAGACTTAGAAAATAAAAGCAAATGTCCACGTCTACCAAAACCATCAAAACAAAGATGCTACAAAATCATCAGTACCTCCTACGCCCATGGTCTGCGACAGATGTCACTCAATGAAAATCCAGCTACCAGTGGGTAACTTATTGGATAACAGGATTGCGTTCTGCTCTTGAGAAATTTAAGCAAGAGAAATGAGAGAAGATGGACCGAGCGCAGATGGACCGTCTTATCTGTTAAGTGGTACTATGGCTACTGCACGTCAATTTTGTCTTAGAAGTGATAGGATTATATTGGTGTTGCCATCCCACATTCATTCCTTGGGAACTTCTGTACCCTGCTTAACCTAACACAAGGTTTCTGGACTGAAGGGCAGAGACATGGAAATAGCTTGGATGAGCCCTGCACATGCTGTGAAACACAATTCCTGATGCCCTGCCATGGCAAGCAGACCTTGACGTGCT